AACTCCCTCTTTCCAGTAGAGTGTTCCTGATGGGTGTAACAGGCGTAACTACCAGGAACACGTGCATTTTGGTACACATGTGTTGTTCCATTGCTGCCGGTGATTGTTTCATTTGAGGGTATGAAGATAAATTTGCTTCTCCCCTCAATGTATCCACGGGTAGCAATTCCTGGTATGCTCATCCGTGCCTCCGATGTACTGTCGGTAGAGCGCGTGATCGTGTTGTAGTAGTCCGCATCTCCCTCATTTGTTGACACCTCGTGTTGCTTGACGTTCTCCTGCATCGTCGAAGTTACGTTGGTGCTTGTAACGCTTCGGCTTCTGGTAGAATCGCCTCCAATGCATGTGCCGTAGGGTCGCTAGTGAACGAGTACTTGCCGGATTATAGGTTAATTACTCCTCAATCTATCAAGCATCGTGACATGCACGGAATTTTCTTCCACGCACGTCATTAACACCTGGAATCGCGACGCATGATTGGTGTGTCGCCTCGTGAGGTCGATGTTGATACTGCCCCAATCAATCACTTCGGATGGCTGAGATTCTTGATGAAGACGAATCGGTCAGCTCCTGTTACAAAGTAGTGTCTCGCTGGCCTTGACGAGACGGGTTCACTGCGTCGTCGTTGCGTGCGAAATCTGCTCCTTCGCAGCAACTTGAACTTGGGAGCATTGCAAGAGAAAACGGCTACTTCTCTGCAATCCCATAAGTTGTAGATCAATTTGTATGAAGAAGTGTCTCGTGGATGGAGAACATGTCTTCACGCAGCTCCATTGTTTTTCCTGGGTGAAGATCCGGTGTATTGATGTCGATCCATTTTTAACGAAGATGACTTCGTCAAAATAACTCGATCGTTATCGACACCAGTCAGAAGATGCGTCGATTGTGCAGTCGGTGGTCACGAATGTTGTCTCCATGATGATGATTTCCCATAGTGTAGTCTCTGCTGTATTCGTGCCGTTGATTCCGCACCGATCCGACGATCCACGTTCTTCTGTCATTTTTCTGCATGCAGATATTACCAAGTAGGTAATACTCTGGCAGATTTCTGACTCTGCAGATGATTTGCGCACCATATTGGTCACCAAATGAAGGAATTCGAATTTGGTTGTCCAAATGTTGTCAACGATGTTGAAGGCGGCCAATTTCTGGTTCTGCGCGTTATTCTCCCTTCGTGCAGAAGTCGCGCTCCATCTTGTCCGTTGAAGTAGAACTCGATCCGACGGTCCAAACTCCAAGCGATCTGAGGATACTCCTGAGTCGCGTTCAGCAGCTTTCGGTGCACGGGTTGACTCGTTTCCTGAAGCAATTCTCGGTCGTCGATGTCGGCTGTCGAACGATCGGACGCTCCGAAGAGTTTCGCGGCTTGCAAGGTCCCGTTCCCATACGCGCTGAAACTCGAACTCGCTCAGAAGGATTTCGTTTTCGCCTCGGTCGATCCGAAGCGTCGAATCTCCATCGGACGGATGTCGTCGGTCGCAGCTCCGCACATTTCCGCACAACTCCGAGTGTTGTCGCGAACTGCGAACTTCTCCGAATGTCGCAGGAAGTGTTCCGCCGGAATTGACGCGCTCCCCAGGTCGAGGCCGTTTGCCCCCGCGAAAAATCGGCTCCGTCGATGCAGTCCATCGAACGGTCGGCGAGGCATCTCGCCTTCGAAGGGGACCCCAGGTGCAACTGCGAGAGGAACGTCGAAACTTAAATGAAAGTGCATTGTACTTACAGGAATTGAAGTTTCGACTCCATCCTCCGCGTGCTCCTGGGGGCCCAGCGGTTAAGCGTTGAGCTGAAACCTTGGCTCTGATTACCAAGTGTCACAGGATGGAATGTCCCGAGGAAAGGTTTGCTCAATGTTGCACTATCATTCAGTACAAGGTGCTTTTATACTTCCAGAGTACATCAGGTAACCAGGCTTATCCTATCCAAAGGGAATAGACCCTTCTAGAAATAGAATCACCATGCGTATAGCCACGCGAGGCTATTGGCTTTAAGGGATTACGGCAGGATTACGCTAGATATAGCGCGCCAGTACATCCCGAGCCTGGTCGGTGATATAATTATAATAAGAGGATAAACCAAAGGATAATGGAAAAGGAGGAATAGGAAACCAAATGAGATGAGATAAAGACCAAATGAATGAGGATAAAAAGAGGAATGAAATAGAAAGGAAATATGGAAAGGGGAAAAGAGTGTAACGGGGTCGTACTCTCACAATAAGAATGTTAGGCACGTCGGCCTTCCGCTCCAGAGGAAACACCATGGTGTAGTGCATGCAGTCGTCGACAAGCACCAGAAAGTAGCGCTCGCGACGCGGCCCAGGGACTGGGGCTGGGCCCCAGACGTCCAAATGCAGGGTTTGGAGTGGCGCAGTGGTGGGAGGAAACAAGGAGGAGTGAGGAGCACGGCGTACCCGACCCTCGATGCAGGGAGTGCACTGAGGCGCGGGCGAGGGAGGGAGGGCAAGGAGCAACGCTGGAAGACCTAAGAGAAGACCGTGCTGTGGTATAAGACGCAGACGCAGGATTGAAGGGTAACCTAGACGGGGGTCCCACAGAAGCGATGGGTGAGTGAGCGACCGACACGAGCAAGCCGCAGCTGCCTGGGTAGGCGCAACCACTTGAGAGGACGCCCCCACCGGGAAGGACGCGGTGTCTAGCATGAACAAGCCGGACACCGGGTCCTGGGGGAATGTGGCGAGGGGTGCACCAGTGGCGGCCTCGGCATAGACCGCGTACCGCTCGTGACCAGAGAACGTAGTGGTGACGCCGAGGTCTTGAAGACACGCGACACCGACTAGGTTTCTGGAGAATGAGGGGATGTGCAGGCCTGTAAGGGAGCCCGAGGGGACCGCCGGAGAGGGAAGGGTAGTGGAGCTACGTGCAACTACCGGACCTGAAGAGGGGTCAGCAAGCGCGACGGCTGCGGGGGCGGCAAGCGGCGTAAGCGCAGTGTGGTCGCGAAAGAAACAGGCGGACGCACCTGAGTCCAAGGTGAAGGAGAAAGCAACGGTGGCGTCAGCCGGAAAAGGGACTAGCATGGAGCCAAGGCTAAACAAATCAGGAGGTCCTACGCCTGACGGAGTAGGGGAACCTAGTCTACACACAATGGACACACCTACACTAGGCAACATATGGTAATAAGGTCCAGTCATACTAAAGTTATCAAGATGCATGGTATACAAAGCAGAGCGAATCTGATCCATATCCATCTCAAAGACCGGCACACAATGACGTACCAGGCTGTGCCAGTCCGGGAGGTCCGGCACTGACCCAAAACGGAGAGGGAAAAGGTCGTCGAGGCGGCGGTAGCAGCGGGCGGCGGTGGGACCGGGACGGTCACACACGGTGCCACGATGGGGGCCGGCCTGAAGCTGGTACTGGCAAGTCACCGCACTGGAGCCGGCACCCGACGCCAAGCTGCGTGAGCCGCCACCGCGGTCGACGCCACCAAAGCCGCCAGGCCACCATAGCGACGGGGGTCCCCACGGCTGCTGCTGCTCCTGCTACTGCGCTAGGGCATCAGCCTCGACCCCCTCATCTGTACCACCGGCACTCGCACCACCTCCCCCACCTCCGCCACCCCTCCCTCCGCCATGCCCCTCACTAGGGCGGCGGCCCTTACCCTGATGAGGCTACGCTGAGGCTGGCACAGCGGTCTCAGCAGCAGGGGCTGTCTCAGTGACAGCGGCAGAGATGTCAGAGTAAGTGCACTAGGAGGGAGCACAGCCCTGGAAGATAGCGACCGCCGTAGTACTGCTAGACTGAACGATAGTGCGCTGGCGGGTCTCTATCGCGGACAGGGTGGTGACAAAGTCAATAAGGGTGAGGTCAGCGGGGTGAAGAGTAAGGAAGTGGTCGCGGGCAGTGGCGAGAAGATCAGGGAAGAGCAGGGGGAGAAGGAGAAGGCCAGCTGAGGCGGAGGAGGGAGTGGAATAGCATGCAATGACGGCATCTAGGTATTCCTTCGCAGTCTCTATAGCCCGAAAGCGGGGACGCTCAGACAGGGGGAGGGCGTGACTGATAGCAAGCTGCGCAACTGTGTCGCACGACTCCCAGACAAAGCGAGCGATCTCAGCAGCGGCAAAGGCCTCACGCTCAGCAGGTGTGGGGGCGTCACGGAGGGCAGCAGGCAAGTCGGGGCACGGGATCTTACCGTCGACATGGACGGCTAGGGACTGGCCATCCTGGTGCTGAACCTTCAGCTGGCGGCGGAGGTCGGCGAGCCACGCCTTAAAGTCGACTGCCCGACCCTCCGCGTGCAGGCGGAGCACAGCGTCCGCCATCACCACAGCTGTAGCAGCTGACAACACAGCGGCACAGCGACACAGCGGCACGGCGGCATGGCGGCACAGCGGCACGGGGACACAGCGGCACGGCGGCACAGCAACACGGCGGCACGGCAGCACAACGGCATGGCGGCACAGCGGCATGACGAGCTGGGGCGGCGCGGCTCGGCAAGCAGAGTCCGAGCTGGGGCCGGTGGCGCGCAGGCGAGCGAACTGGGGCCAGCGAGTGAGTTAGGGCCGGCGAGCGAGCTAGGGGCGGCGTGCTAGGGCCGACGAGCTGGGGCCAGCGAGCTAGCTAGGGGCGGCAAGCGAGCTAGGGCCAGCGAGCGAACTGGGGCCAGCGAGTGAGTTAGGGCCGCCGAGCGAGCTAGGGGCGGCGTGCTAGGGCCGGTGAGCTGGGGCCGGCAAGCTGGGGGCCGACGAGCTGGGGCCGGCGAGCTAGGGGGCCACGCGGCGAGGAAAGGGACCGGCAGCAGGCTAGGAGCCACGCGGCAAGGGCTCGCGTGGCGCGCAAAGGGCCAGCGGCGAGCTAGGGGCCAGTGGGCTAGGGCGAGGGCACGATAGGGCGGGCGCTAGGGACTAGGGCGGCGTGGCGCGGCAGACTAGGGCAGCGCGGCACGGCGGGCTAGGTAGGGGTAGGCTACAGTAGGCTAGGGCGGAAGCGCGGGTGGGCGGGACCTATCATCTCAGAGTAGCAAAGTGGAAACAGACTAGGGCATACAGGGTGTTCTTATGCTCGTGTGTTATACCCTCTAAGAGCATGCACCTATCTAGCCTAAAACAACAAATGTATATAAGTTGACATGCGATGCACTCAAGGCGAGTCAGTTCATCAGCGGCCTCTATCCTTGAGGTCATTGAGCATGCACAGCACATTGATCGCTGCATTGATGCTGGCTCTCATTCCCCTTGTGCTTTCAACAATGGCTACACAACACACATCATCAATTGAGTCGGCTCAGCGGCCCGTCCTCGAGGTCATTGAGCATGCGCAGCATCTTGACCGCTGCAATGGGGTGGGGACCCTTCGGTTTTTGCTTGCTTCTTGGGGAGAGTCAAGGCAAGGGATGCTTGGGAGAGACAACACATCAGCGGCCCCTATCCTCCAGGTCATTGAGCACGCGCAGCATTTTGATCGCTGCGATGATGCGGGCTCTGGCTGCTAGCATGTGTCATTCCAGTCAACGAGACAGACATCTCAGAATGCACTTGTCAGCTCATCAGCAGCCTCTGTCCTCCAGGTCGTTAAGCATGCGCAGCATCTTGATCGCTGCATTGACGCTGGCTCTCAGCTCGCTCTGCGGAGTTTCGCCCCTCTGCACAAACACCTGGCCGCTTTGTGTTGTCACTGTGCACGTTGCACGGAACCTGCTTGTAGAGAGGACACAGTATGGGTGCGTAAAGGAGGATGGGGGACGGTTGAGGGGGGAGCGCTGGCTGAAGTGTGAAGGGTGAATGTGGAAAGAAAGAAGCAGACTATATGCCCACCCTTGCACTCACCCTGCTCGTGCTGCACTGCACCCACCCACTGCACCCACCCGCTGCACCCACTCGCTGCACCCACCTGCTGCACCCACCTGCTGCACCCACCCTCACACTCACCTGGCCCGTGTGCGCCCCACCGCCCAGCTGCAGCGCCACCTCCGATCTACCTGATGCACCCACCCACCCTGTACCTGGCACACTCACCTGGCACATGCCACACCCACCTCCTCGCGTCACACTCACCCCGCCCGTGTGCGCCCCACTGCCCAGGTGCTGCGCCACCGCCGCTGGCTGCATAGCGCCTGCACTCGTCCTATCGCCCACTCGTCCTCCACCGTCCCTCCCCCTCCCACCCCCCCGCCACCACTGCCAACACCGTTCCCACCACCGCTGCCACCACCACCACCACCACCAGCAGCACCACCACCACTGCCAACACCACCACCACCACCACCAGCACCACCACCACCACTGCCAACACCACCACCACCACCACCAGCGGCAAATGCAGAGGCATTGGCAGCAGCAGCGGCGGCAGTGCCAGCAGCAGCATAGGAGGCAATGGCAGCCTGAATCGTGGTAGCAGGCCCTCTGGGGGTGCCGTGGATGGAAGGGACTGGCGAGGGGGAGGAAGCGGGAGGAGAGGGGGATGAGAGTGTGAGGGAGAGTGAGGGAGATGTTGGATTGGCCCTAGGTTGTGCTGATAGTGGGCTTGAATGGGCTGGTCGCTTCGTTGGGTGCTGAAACGATGAGGCTCGGCGGAGGTTCGGGGGGGAGGTTTGGGTGAGGGGAGGGCTGTGTGTGGGTTCCGAGGTTCGGGTTGGGCTTGGGGAAGGGAATCGGGTTATCCGAGCCTGCGCGGCCCGGGGTTGATGCGCGCTCTGTGACTGGTTGGGAAACGGGAGGTTCGGTAAAGGGGCAAGGTTCGGAGGAGAGGGGAGATTTGGTGGCGTGGGAAGGATTGGTGGAGAGGAAAGGTTCTGTGGAAAGGGGAGGTTTGGAGAGGGGAGGTTCGGCAGAAAGTGGAGGTTTGGAGAGGGGAGGTTTGGAGGGGATGAGAGTTGCCTGGAGTCAGAGGGGAAGAGGGGGAGGCGATTCGGGTGCAACGGAGGGGAAGGGAGAGAGGGATGGGAGGGGTGTGGAGGGGAAGGGAGAGAGGGATGGGAGGGGTGTGGAGGGGAAGGGAGAGAGGGATGGGAGGGGTGTGGAGGGGAAAGAAAATGGACGGACTGAGGATGGGGGTGTGGTGGACCCTGTTGTCCATGCTGCTGCTGCTGCTGCTGCTGCTGATGCTGCTGCTGTTGGTGCTGCTGTGGATTGACGAATTGGCGCGGAGGGGGAAGACGAGCAGATCCCAACAAGGACCGGTGCGGTGGTGGAGGGAGAGAGGGGGGGTGAGAGGGAGGGAAGGGGGGATGGGACGGATGGAATCGATCATCTGGCACCACGAACGGTTGAGATCTGCTCAATCCCATGATGGGCGCATCTGGGCCGTCCAAAGGAGCCTGCAAGCCTCTGAACGGCCCAGATTGCTGTGCTTGTCGTGATTCCAGTGGTGGCCCTGCCCCCCCTCCTCCTGCTCTGCTTGCTCTCCCATCTGCCCCTGCTCCTGCCCCTGCTCCTGCCCCTGCTCCTGTCGGCCCTGCTACCCTTGCTGCTCCTGCTCCCCTGGCTCCTTCCCCCCTTTCCCTCCCCCCTCCCCCTCCCGCTGCAGCAGTGGCTGCAGGAGCAGCTGCAGCGGTGGCTGCTGCGGTCGCTGCTGCCATACTAGCAGCTACTGCTGCCAAGCTCTCTGGACTGAGCCCCTGCAGGAACCTTAGGCGCTGAGAGTGAGTGAGCGAGGAGAGCTGGTGGAGAGGGGAGTTGATTGGAGAGTTGACAGGAGAGTTGATGGGAGGGGGAAGCTGAGGGGAAGAGCGAGGGGGGTGAGGGACCTGGGGGGACTGGGACACCCCCCCCAGGTTGGATACTAGTGGGGGAGAGGAGAGGGAGGAGAATGAGGGGGCAGAGCGGGGGTTCTGTAGGGTGTGTAAGAGGTTGGGAGGGAGGGGGTTGGGGGCGGTTGAGAGGAGTTGCAGGAGGGAGGTGGGTGAGAGGCGGGGGCCGCTTTGCTGGTTGTTTGTTTCTGCTGGTGCGACGGGAGCGACCGTTGGGTTCACATGTTGCTGCTGCAGAAACGCACCTGCTTGCTGCTGCTGCTGCTGTGAGTGCAGGGGGGCCTTGGAGGCATGAGCTGCCTGCAATAGCTGCTGCTGCTGCACGCTCAGCTGCCTGCCTTCTAGCCCTCCTTTCTGCACACTGCGCTCCCCCTGCTGCTGCTGCTGCAACCCCACCGGCTCCATCTGCTGCCTTCCCTCTCGTTCCCCCTGCTGCACACTGCGCTCCCATCGCTGCCTTTCCCCATCCTCACCTGCCTGCTCTCCCTGCTCTCCCTGCTCTCTGCCCGCTGGGGCTCCGTCTCCAGGCCCCCCTGGCGGCGTGTGATTCGACTCATAAACGGCCCTGTCGCGAGCCCCGGCTGGCTCCCTCTGCTCGGTACCCCCTACCTCTCGCACCTGCCCTCCAGCTTGGTTCTGTACCCGGGGTGCTATCTGCCCCCGTAGCCGTGGGTCTCGTGCTGATCGTGACTGCAAGCGCTGCTGCTGCTGCTGCTGCTGCTGCTGCTGCATGCCTCTGCCTGGGGTTGAATCGGGTTCGCGCCTCAAATCTCGTTCTAATCGTGCCCCAAACTGTTGCTGCATGCCTCTGCCCTGGCCGGTATTGGGTTCGTGTCTCAACGCCCCTCTGCTGAGTCCTCGCCTTGCGCTCTCACCCCTGCTGCTGCTGCTGCTGCTGTCAGCCTCTCGAGTGTCCCCTGCTTCTGCAGCAGCAGCGGCGTTTAGATCCGCTATGCCTCCTCCTCTCCTCCCCTCCCACTCTCCTCCTCTCCCCCTCTCCCCCTCTCCTCCTCTCCCCCTCTCCGCCTCTCCTCCTCTCGTCCCTCTATCTCGCTCACCATCAGAATTACCACCAAAACCACCATTGTTCCCACCACCACCGCCACCTCGATTGGCAACCCCAGCGGCATCCCCAGGCCTCACCCACCGAGCCTGCTGCTGAACCATATTCTGCCCCGGCTCACCGCGCCAAGCCTGCTGCAATGGCTCGTTCCGAACCTCTTTCCATGCCTGCTGCTGTTGCTGCCAAGCCACATGTTTGGGTGGAGGAGGTCCCTCCCGAGCCAAAGGACTTCTAAGGTCCGTATACCTCTGAACCGATGGGGCTCGCTCTGGGTATTCCCGAGCCACAGGTCCGGAACGTGACGGGGAACCCGGAGGCACAGGCGCGGAAAAGGGACGCACATCCCGAGTCGTAGGTCCGGAAAAGGGAGGCACATCTCGAGGCGTAGGTCCGGATGGGGAGGGCGATTCCCAAGGCATGGGCAGGGACGGCAGCCATGACCCCTGGGCCCTGAACCTAGCCGCGTGGGGGTGGGCGGGGGGGGCAGGAGATGAAGAGAGGTGGGGGTGTGCCGGGGGCTGGTGGGGGGAAGGCACAGGAGGCAGGGGGAGGGGGGGCGCTGGTGGGAGGGAAAGGGTGAGCTGTGATAAAGGTGGTGGCAGTGGTGGCAGTGGTGGCAGTGGTGGTGGTGGGGGAAGGGGGAGGGTGGATGGAGGGGGGGGAGTGCGGAAGAGGGAGTCCCGGCTTGTGTCATGGTGACGATGAGAGGCAGCACGTCGTGCAGAGGCAGTGGCAGGGCCAGGGGTAGTACGAGCAGCAGCCAAGGCAGCAGGAGCGTCAGAGGCAGTGGTGGGGCGAGCGGCAGCAGCAGAGGCACGAGAGCGTGGGAAAGGAGGCGGAGGGGAGGATCGGCTGCCCTCCCACACCAGAATCACATCGTCATCATCATCATCCTCCTCCTCCACCTCTGCTGCCGCCTCCTGGAGCTTGTGTCCCTGACCCTCCCCCTTGCCTTCCCCCTTGCCCTTGCCCGTGCCTCCTTCCTCCCGTCGCTCCTCACTGCCCCTTGCCAGCGTGTCCTCCACTCCGGCTGTTCCCACTCTGTGTGATTCTCCGGCAGCAGTGTCTGGTGATGTTAGCCGCAGCCCTCTCGCTACCTCGCTTGCTCCCGCCGCTGCCGCTGCTGCTGCTGCTGCTGCTGTCGTCGCTCCCCCAGCCCCTGCTACTGCTGTGGCTGGTGCCGTGGCTGCCATTGCTCCTCCAGGGTCTGCTGTCCTAGCAGCCTCAAAGGAAGACACTCCTCCGCCCCCCGTAAGACCGCCCTGCCACCACGGCCTGCTGCCATAGCTGCCTGAGTGGGGCACTGGCGCCGATACCACCTGCACCTCATGCACCTCACGCACCTCACGCACCTCCCCTGAACGCACCTTCCCCAGATGCACCTCCCTCGAATCTCTCGCCCCTCCGTCCCCTCCGGAAGCACTAGGAGCCGTAGCACTGGCCACATCAGCAGCAGCAGCAGCATCGGGCACAGCAGCAGGAGCAGGAGCAGCAGCAGCACGGGAGGCAACAGGCGCATCAGGAGAGGTGGGTGCAGCCTTTGAATCGGCAGCACTTGCCAGGCCACCGGGACCCATGCTGCTGCTACCTTTCAGGGGACCACTGGCCACACTCGCACTCGATGCTGCTGCTGCTGCTGCTGCTGTCACAGCTGCTGGTGCTGCAAGTGTTGCATCTGCTGCTGCTGCTGCTGCTGTGCCAGCACTCCCTGCCTCCTTCCGTGCCTCTCTGACTGCATCCTCACTCTCCTCGTTCAAATCCAAACCCCTCAACCACCCCCCACCATCCCCACCATCCTCATGCCCCTCCCCACCACCACCACCACCACCACCACCACCACCACCACCTGCAGCACCTGCAGCAGCAGCAGCAGCACCACCACCACCACCAACAACAACAGGTTTGGAAGAAACAGGCCCGGAAGCAACAGGTTTGGAGGCAAAAGGTCCAGAGGCAACAGGTCCAGAGGCAACAGGTCCAGAGGCAACAGGTCCAGAGGCAACAGGTCCGGATCCGTGGTGTGCGGAAGAGGGTGCAGGGGGGGGAGTGAGGGGGCTTGACGGGGTGGTGGGTGGGGGAGTCGGGCGGCGAGGGGGAGGTGGTATGTGGGGGAGGGAGAGGCGCATGGGATGGGGGAGCGACAGAGGAGGGAGGACCAGTGCGGTGCTTGATGATCTAGGCTGGGGCGTTGACTGCTGCTGCTGATTCTGTCTGGAGAGAGGCGTTGACTGCTGCTGCTGATAGTGACTAGAGAGAGGCGTTGACTGCTGCTGCTGATAGTGACTAGAGAGAGGCGTTGACTGCTGCTGCTGATAGTGACTAGAGAGAGGCGTTGACTGCTGCTGCTGATAGTGACTAGAGAGAGGCGTTGACACAGACTCGTCCTCTGTGTCTCCCTTTTCCCATGGTTTGAGCCCTTTCATACCCCTACCCAGGCCCCTACCCATGGCTCTACCCATACCTCTCCCCATGCCTTTCCCCGGCTGCTGCTCCCTCTGCTCTCCCACGCCCCTCCCTTGCCGCTGCCGCTTCCTGCTCCTGCCCCTCCCCCTCCCTCCTCCCCCCTGCTCTACACCCCCCTCAGCAGCACCAGCACTGCTCTCCCCCGGTTCTCTCCCTCTCTTCTCCCTCTCTGGCCCAATCAACTGCTGACACCTGGCGGCCCTGGCCCCTGCACCCTCTCCCTGCTCCGACCTGTCCTCTCTATCCTCTAACACTGGCCCGACTGCCACCACTGCTTTCGGTGCCCCTGCGACTGCTGCCCCTGCCGCTGTTGCTGTTGCTGCTGCTGCTGCTGTTGCCCTGGCTCCTCCTTTCCCCATTCCCATGTCCCCACCCTCTGCTCCCTCCCTCTCTGCCGCTACCTTCCCACTTGCTCCCCCACTTCCACGTGCAGTCATCCCTGCTGCCGCTTGTGCGGCTGCTGCTGCTGCCGCCGCTTGTGCGGCTGCTGCTGCTGCTGCCGCTTGTGCTGCTGCTGCTGCTGCTGCTGCTTGTGCTGCTGCTGCTGCTGCTGTCGCTTGTGCTGCTGCTGCCACTTGTGCTGCTGCTGCCTTGCCTGCCCCTGCCCTCTGCATCGTTGAGTCAACTGCATCACCAGCACCAGCAGCCGCACCACCACCAGCATCACCACCAGCACCACCACCAGCACCAGCAGCCGCACCAGCACCAGCACCACCAGCAGCCCCAGCAGCCGCACCAGCAGCCGCACCACCACCAGCACCAGCAGCACCAGCAGGAGCACCAGAAGCATTAGCAGCACTACCTCTTGCCTCCACCTCCTCCTCCTCACCCACCACCCCCACACCAACCCCACCTCCCTCACTCCCCACCTGCACCTCAGAAAACGCCTCACCAACCACCACCTGTGAAATCACCTGAGATAGTACCTGGTCAGCTGGCACTTGTCCAGCGCCTCTGGAGCCAGGTTGGGTCTGGGCAGGGGGCCGGGGCCCAGGTGGGTGGCGTTTCCTGACCCTGCGGCTTACAGTGGAGGAGGGGACTGGGGGAGGTAGCATTGAGGGGGAGGGAATTACTGGGGAAGGTGGCATTGATGGGGCCATTTCCTTATCCTTACTACCTTTCACTTCCCCGTCCATTGCTGCATTCTGTACACCTTTCCAAACCTCACCAGCAGCTTCGGCCCCATCCTCGCCCTCAGCTTCGGCAACAGCCTCCCCTCGAGAAGGCAACGAGCCATCCACACCTGACATCCCACCTGACGTCCCACCTGACATCCCACCCAGCACCTGACCTACCCTACCAACCCCCTCATTCCCTCCCTCCCCTCCCCCCCCATCTCCCCCACCCCCCACTTTCCCCCCATCCTCAGGGGAATCCCGCCTCTTCCCCCCCCCATTCGCGGGAAAGTTCAGCTGAGCCGCGCTGCCATGCACCCTCAAGACAGCCACGTCATACGCCAGCGCCGCCTCCTCTGCAGTGGCATAGAAGCCGATGTGGCGCTGCCTCTTGCCGTCACGGTCCACCATGCGCGCCTGGAACTTGCCAGGCTCCTTCACCATCACGCCCACGAACTCTGTGGACACAGCCGCCCGGATGCTCTTGCGCAGAGATGCCTTCCGGCTGCTGCTGCTGGGGGTGGTGGCGGGGGTGGTAGTGGGGGTGGCAGCAGTAGCGGCTGTAGTGGCTGTAGCGGCAGTAGCTGCTGTAGCGGCTGTAGTGCCTGTAGCGGCCGTAGCGGCTGTAGTGGCTGTAGTGCCGGTTTCTATGACTTGCACATCGTCTTCTGCAGAAGCACCATCTTCTTCGCTCCTCTCCCTCCTCTCACCTTCAGTAGAGTCTCTTCCCTCGCTGTTTTGACTGCACCCCCTCCCACGCTCACCATCGCCCTTCTTCACGCCTCTCTCTGGCACCCTCTCTCCAACAAAACTCACGCCAGGTGCCTTCCCAGGTGCCTTCCCAGGTACCTTCGCAGGTGCTTTCCCAGGTGCCCCAGGTGGTCTCCCAGGTGCAGTTCTTCCAGGCGTATTGCCAGCAGTTTCGCCAGCTGTTTTGCCAGGTAATTTATCAGGTGCTTTGCCAGCTGTATTAGTAGCTTGTGCTTTGGCGATCTTCCGGGAAGGCGATTTAAGAGATCCAGGCCTTTCACTACAGGCACCCTGCGGCTGAGTGAGTTGATCCAGATCAGAAGGGGTGTCTGCAAGGCTCTTTGCTCGCCGCTTGAGGCTCCCCCCTGCTTGCTTCCCTTCCTTTTTTGCTGTTACCCCTTTCCCTGCTCCTAACTCCCCCGCCTGTTTCCCTGCCTTTTTTGCTGCTGCCCCCTTCCCTCCCCCTGCCTTCGCTGCCTGCTTGCCTGCGGCTTTCCCCCCCTTATTTGTTGCTGCAGCAGAGGGTGAGGCGGTTGCAGTGGGACTGGCAGCGGCAGCAGAGGGGATTGCAGCAGGTGCGCTAGGGGATGCAGGAATGGCAGCAGCAGCAGTCACGCCAGCAGCACTCACACCGGCAGCCGCAGCAGCAGGAGCAGCAGCAGGGGCTTGAGGGGATGCAGCAAGTTTTGGAGAGGAGGCAGCAGGAGGAGAGGAGAGGAGGGTAGGAGAGGGGGAAGCGGAGGAGGGGAGTGAGAGGGAGAGGAAGGGGAGAGAGGTGGAGGAGGAGGAGGCACGTGAGGGTGGGAGAGAGGGGGAGGAGGAGGAGGCGAGTCAGGGTGAGCGAGAGGGGGGGGAGGAGGAGGCGAGTCAGGGTGAGCGAGAGGGGGAGGGGGAGGGACGATGGTGACCCCAGTGAGGGAGAGGCGCCATTCGGAGTTCACCTTGTACGATCCTTTCTTGTGCCCATCCCTCCTCCTTCTCCGCCTCTTCCCACCAAACATACTCGCCATGTAGCCATACTTGTCAACATAGCGGCTACCGTAGCGGTAACCATGCCCGTTACCACTCCCGCAACTGGCTGCCGCTTCCCTCCTCCTCTTCCGCTTCCCCAGATCCCTCCCTTCCTCTTCCTCTCCCTCTTCCTCTCCCTCTTCCTCTCCCTCTTTCTCCTCCTCTTCTCCCATGTGTCCAGCCACCACTGCATGGCTCTCAGCCCACACGCGGTGCAGCCACAGCAGTGTGCTGTGGTAAGGATGCTCGTCGCCTGTGGCTTCGCCACTGATTCCCTCGTTCCCTGCACCTCCTCCTCCTCCTGCCGCCGCTGCTGCTGCTGCTGCTCCGTCCGTTGCTGTTCTTGTTGTTTCTGCTGCTGCCGGTATTGTTGCTGCTTCTGGTGTTGCTGCTCCTGGTGGTGGTGGTGGTGCTGCTGCTGCTGCTGCCGGTGTTGTTGCTGCTGCCGGTATTGTTGCTGCTGCCGGTGTTGCTGCTTCTGCTGCTGCTTCTGCTGCTGCTTCTGGTGCTGGTGTTGCTGCCGCTGCTGCTTCTGCTCTTGTTGCTGCTGCTGAAGTTGCCTCAGAAACAGCACCAAGAGGAGAAGGAGAGGGAGCAGAAACAGCACCAAGAGGAGAAGGAGAGGGAGCAGAAACAGCACCAAGAGGAGAAGGAGAGGGAGCAGAAACAGCACCAAGAGGAGAAGGAGAGGGAGCAGAAACAGCACCAAGAGGAGAAGGAGAGGGAGCAGAAACAGCACCAAGAGGAGAAGGAGAGGGAGCAGAAACAGCACCAAGAGGAGAAGGAGAGGGAGCAGAAACAGCACCAAGAGAAGAAGGAGAGGGAGCAGAAACAGCACCAAGAGGAGAAGGAGAGGGAGCAGAAACAGCACCAAGAGGAGAAGGAGAGGGAGCAGAAACAGCACCAAGAGGAGAAGGAGAGGGAGCAGAAACAGCACCAAGAGGAGAAGGAGAGGGAGCAGAAACAGCACCAAGAGGAGAAGGAGAGGGAGCAGAAACAGCACCAAGAGGAGAAGGAGAGGGAGCAGAAACAGCACCAAGAGGAGAAGGAGAGGGATCAGAAACAGGACCAAGAGGAGAAGGAGAGGGAGCAGAAACAGCACCAAGAGGAGAAGGAGAGGGAGCAGAAACAGCACCAAGAGGAGAAGGAGAGGGAGCAGAAACAGCACCAAGAGGAGAAGGAGAGGGAGCAGAAACAGCACCAAGAGGAGAAGGAGAGGGAGCAGAAACAGCACCAAGAGGAGAAGGAGAGGGAGCAGAAACAGCACCAAGAGGAGAAGGAGAGGGAGCAGAAACAGCACCAAGAGGAGAAGGAGAGGGAGCAGAAACAGCACCAAGAGGAGAAGGAGAGGGAGCAGAAACAGCACCAAGAGGAGAAGGAGAGGGAGCAGAAACAGCACCAAGAGGAGAAGGAGAGGGATCAGAAACAGGACCAAGAGGAGAAGGAGAGGGAGCAGAAACAGCACCAAGAGGAGAAGGAGAGGGAGCAGAAACAGCACCAAGAGGAGAAGGAGAGGGAGCAGAAACAGCACCAAGAGGAGAAGGAGAGGGAGCAGAAACAGCACCAAGAGGAGAAGGAGAGGGAGCAGAAACAGCACCAAGAGGAGAAGGAGAGGGAGCAGAAACAGCACCAAGAGGAGAAGGAGAGGGAGCAGAAACAGCACCAAGAGGAGAAGGAGAGGGAGCAGAAACAGCACCAAGAGGAGAAGGAGAGGGAGCAGAAACAGCACCAAGAGAAGGAGAGGGAGCAGAAACAGCACCAAGAGGAGAAGGAGAGGGAGCAGAAACAGCACCAAGAGGAGAAGGAGAGGGAGCAGAAACAGCACCAAGAGGAGAAGGAGAGGGAGCAGAAACAGGACCACCAGCAGCAGCACCAGCAGCAGCAGCAGCACCACCACCACCAGCACCACCACCAGCACCAGCAGCACCACCAGCAGCACCACCACCAGCACCAGCAGCAGGAGCAGAAGGCAGGGGCGGATTGAGTCGCCTGGAGGGGACGAGTCGAGCCACCTTCCACCCTCCTGGGGGAGGCACTCGCGCTCTTTTCTTCAGCGCAGGAGGCGGGGGAGAGGGGGGCGCAGCAGCACGGGTAGAATCTGGTTGCACGTCAGCAGAAGCAGCAGAGCCAGTGGTGGCGATTGGGACCGTGGGAGGAGCGGCAGCAGCGGCTGCAGCAGCAGGAGCAGAAGCAAAGTGGGGAGAAGCAGCAGGAGCAGCGGGGAGAGTGGGAGCTGGATACGAAGAGGGGGGATGGGATGGGGTAGTAGCAGGGGGGAGAGGGGGAGCAGAAAGAAAGGGAGTCTCAGCAGCTGAAGCGAAGCGAGACCCAGAACCTTCTCCAAACCTCCGTTGCTTCTTGGTCTTCCCTGCCTCTTCTACACCGCTCTTCTTGGCTTTCTTTAAAACCTTTCCTCCCCCTTCACCGTCCCCTTTCCTGTCCCCGTACCTGTGCCCTTTCCTGTCGACTTCCCTGTGACCTTCACTGAAACACTCTTCGCCCCTTTCCCTTCCCTCTCCCCTGCCAGCTCATTCCTCCAGCCCCCTTCTTTTCCCTCGCCATCCTCTCCCTCCATCTCACCCTTCTCCTTCCCATCCCTCCTCCGCTCCTCGTCGTCCCACTCCCGGAGCACCCGTTTCCCCCCATCCTTCCCTTGCTGCTTCGTCCTTTTCTTCCCCCCCACCTTCGCAGCCTTCCCTTTCCCCTCCGCCCCCTCACTTCTCTGTCCCATCTCCCCCTCCTCCCCCTCCTTCCCCTCCTTCCCCTCTCCTCCCTTGCCTCTCGGTCCCATCTCCTCCTCTTTCACCGTCTTGCCCGTCTCTCTAATCTGCTTCACTCCTTTGGCCTTGCCTCCACCACCCATGAAGCCACCATCACCCGCCTCCGCGCCCTCCCTGCTCTGCCCCCCTTCCTCCGTCTCACTCTTGGACCCTGAGTCAGCAGCAGGAGAACTAGCACCAGCACCAGCACCAGCACCGGCACTGGCACCAGCATCACTAGCATCATCACCATCACCATCAGCAGCACCGTCACTCCCATTCAAATTCCCCTCACTGGTATTCCGCACCTCCTCACTGATATTCCGCACCTCCTCACTGGTATTCCGCACCTCCTCACTGGTATTCCGCACCTCCTCACTGGTATTGCGCACCTCCTCACTCGTGTTCAGCACCACCTCTTGGCCAAACTTCACCAGGTGCAGCCGCAGGAGCAACTTCCTCTCCACCTCAAACACCAGCGCCTCCCCCTCTTGCATATCCAGAGTCACAGCCAGTTCCCCCCACCCCTCCTTCAACCTGTACACCTGCACCCCCTTCGAATACACCCCCCACCTCATCTCCCACCTCCGCCCCCCCGGGCCAATCACAGCTATCCGCTCCGACCCCGCCAGGTGCCGCTTCACGAACGGCCCGGGGAGGTCCAGCCCCTTATCCGACGTCGCGATGACGTGGCGCGTCACAAACTTGACGAAAGAAGGCCTAGCGGTTCGCATTCGATGCACCTTGAGCACCGTCTCCCCTTGCAGCGTCAGGGGGCTTATACCCATGGATACATATGGCACATACCCGAGCGGCTTTCCCCCCGGGCCCATGTCCTGCTTCCCTGCGAATCCCTTGAGCTGGCGCACGGCTCGGAGCTTCATGACATCACTGCGGGGGAGCCCCTTCTCCCGCTCCCTGTCCCGGTCCCTTGTCCGCTTCACCTGGCTCTCTGCCTTCACCACCCGAACATCGTCGTCGTCGTCAGTGCCATCACCACCAGTGTCATCAGCGTCATCGTCACTGCCATCTGCAGCAGCAGATGTCGCAGCAGCAGCAGCAGCAGCAGACGTAGTAGCAGCAGCAGTAGCAGCAGTAGCATTAGCATCAGCAACAGCAGCAGCACCAGCAGCAGCATTGCAGTCCTCCTCGTCTTCCTCCCGTCCCTCCTTTTTGCTCTTCAGCGCCTTCCCTTTCATCCTCCCCTTCTCCTCCTTCTCCTCCTCCTTCTCCTTCTCCTCCTCCTCCTCAAGCCCCTTCTTCCCCCGAAGATTCATCTCATTCCCACCCCTAGAACACTTCCCCAACCCCTCTTTATTCCCCGCCTCCTCCTCTTCCTCTTTTTTCCCCTCCTTTTTTTCCTCCTCCCCCTCGTCATGATCTCTATCCTCCTCCTCCCCTGCTCCCTCCCCTCTAGCCTCCTCTTCCTCCCTCTCTCCACTCCCCATCGCCCCCTTTTCCTTCCTATCATGTCTCACTCTTTTCAAAACATCTTCCTTCTCCTCCTCCACCTCTTTCCCCTTGTTTTCTTTCTCGCTGTCTTGAGCTCGCTTCCCCTCCACCCCTTGGCGTTCCACCTTGCTCCCCCCAACCCCGTCCTCCCCACTGCTCTCCTCACTCGTCCCCTCACTCTCCTCCGCCTCCTCCTCCCTCTCCCCAGACCTTCCCCTTCCACGCCCACTCCCTCCCCCGTACCCCCCCCCTTTCGACCCCCTTCCCCTCCCCCTCCCCCTCCTTCCGCCCACCCTGCCTCCCCTACTTCCCCTCCCCCTTTCCACCCCCGCGCCCCTCCCTCTACCCCTCCCTCCCCTCCCTCTCCCTCTCCCTCCTCTCCCCCCCGCCTCCACAATCACTACCTCCACGCCCCCCTCTACCTCCCCTTCTCCAGCACTGTCACTCCCCTTTCCTCCCTCACTTTCCCTTTGCACTGCACCCGCTCCCTCCGCCTCCCTCCCCTCTCGTCTTCCACAACCCACTGCATCCTTCACTTCCGTACCCACACGCGTTTCGTCCCCCTCCCCTTGCTCGGCCCCCTTCCCCCCCACCCTCTGATCGCCCCCCCTCCCTCCCTTCCCCTGCTCGTCCCCCCTTCCGCCTTTTCCCAGCTGGTTCCCCACTCCCTGCTCGTTCCCCTTCGCCCCCTTCCCCTGCTCGTCCCCCTTCGCCCCCTTCCCCTGCTGGTTGCCCACTCCCTGCTCCTTCCTTTTCGCCTTCGTTCCCTGCTCGTTCCCCTTCCCCTGGTCGTTCCCCTTCCCCTGCTCGTTCCCCTTCCCCTGATCGTCCCCCTTCCCCTGCTCGTCCCCCATCGCCGCCTTCCGCTGCCTCGCCTCAGCACCACGGTCAACCGCGCTGCTGCTGGGGTGGGTATCAGGGCCGAGGGCAGCTTGGGACCCCTCGTTGCCATCAGCATCGCCACTCACTCTGGGGTTGATTCCACCATGCCTGCTGGGCGCACTCCCCCGCCTCGCCTCAATACTCCCAGGGTCAACCGCCCTGCTGCTGCTGCTGGGGCGGGTGATATCAGGGCCGAGGGCAGCCTGGGACCCCACGGTGCCCACAACCCTCTCCCCTCTTTTTGCTCCCTCCTCTTCTCTCATCTCCTCCCCCTTCCTCTCCTCTGCCATCCTCTCCTCCCCCTTCCTCTCATCTCCCATCCTCTCATCTCGCTTCCTCTCATCTCTTTCACTTCCAGTTTCACTAACAGCTTCACAGCCAGTCACACCCTCTCCACAGGCGCCCTCCTTCTCCCCCCTCTCTTCCCTTCCTCCCTCCTCCTCTCCACTCCTCTCGTTCACCACCACTTTCCTCTCTTCCCTCCTTTCCTTCCCTCCCCCTTTCCCCTCCCCACTCCTCGCTCTCTTCACCCCTTCCCCCTCTTTCCTCTTCCCCTCCTTCCCTCCCCCTCCTTCCCCTCCTTCACCCCTCCCCTCTCCTCTTCCCCACCTCCACAAGCCTTCTTTTCTGCTTCGCTACTCCCGGCACCAGCATTCCCATCAGCACAAGCACGCCTGTCACCACATGCACCCCCCTCATCCATTTTTCCAGCAGACCCGGCACGAGGAAACGTCCCTCCCTCACATCCGGAATCATCTCTCTCTCCGCTACTACGCTTTCCTGAATCCATACCATCGCAAGCACTGCCATAACCTCCATTCCCGCAGGCCCTCGCACAACCCCCCTCCCCTTCCTCCACCTTTCCCCCGCCTTCCCTCCCGCCCCCATCCTCCTGCCCACTTCTCTCCTCCTCTGCCGCCTCCCCCTCCCCCTGCCCCTCCCCTGTCTCCCGCCCTTCCGTTTCCCCTTCCTTCTTCCCCCGCTCCACTCCCTTCCTCCCCTTCCTCTCCTCTTCCTCGCGCTGCTGCAGCACCCACTGCTGCTGCTGCTGCTGCTGCTGCTGCTGCAGCATTATCCCCCAAACAGCCTCTCTTCGGCGGGAACACCCCCCCGCACCACATGCATGCTGCTCAGCCGCTTAACCTTCTTCCTCTTAGCCTTGGGCTCTGCATCGGGATCCAGTCGGACCTTCCCCACTCCTCCCCACGCCTCTTCCCCCCCTCTCTCTCTGTCTGAGTCTAAACTGACCTGCCCCACTCGTCCCCGCGCCTCCTCCTTCCCTTTCTCTCTGTCTGAATCCAATCCGACCTTCCCCACCGAAAGACTTGTGAATTGTATGGACAATTTTGATGGCTCTCTGTCTGGATCCAATCGGACCTCCTGCCGCCCTCTCTCTCTGTCTGGATCCAATCGGACCTCCTGCCGCCCTCTCTCTCTGTCTGGGACCAATCCGACCTTTCCCGCGGCTCTCCGCGCCTCCTCCTGCTCTCTCTCTCTGTCTGGCTTTACACGGACCTTCCCCACTCCTCCCCACGCCTCCTCCTGCTCTTTCTCGCTGTCTGGAGCTAGGCTGACTTTACCCGCGCCTCCCCATGCCTCCTGCTGCTCGCCCTTTCCCCCATGAGTCATTGGAGTGCCATGCGGTGGGATGGCTGGTTGTTGCTTCTCCTGCTGCTCGCCCTTTCCCCCATGAGTCATTGGAGTGCCATGCGGTAGGATGGCTGGTTGTTGCTTCTCCTGCTGCTCGCCCTTTCCCCCATGAGTCATTGGAGTGCCATGCGGTGGGATGGCTGGTTGTTGCTTCTGCTGCTCGCCCTTTCCCCCATGAGTCATTGGAGTGCCATGCGGTGGGATGGCTGGTTGTTGCTTCTCCTGCTGCTGCACATGCTGTTTCTCGTGCAGCGGCTGCTGCTGCTGTTTCTCGTGCTGCTGCTGCTGCTGCTTTTTCTCTGGCTGCTGTTGTGGCGGCTGCTGCTGATTCTCGTGCTGCTGCTGCTGCTGCTGTTTCTGTTGCCGTTGCTCCAATTCGCCTAGGCGACTTAGCTTGCCTTCCGAACCTGATGCCACAGCGCTTGCTACGACTGCATCAGCCGCTCTTCTCTCTGCTACAACCGTATCAGCCGCTCTTCTCTCTGCTACAACCGTATCAGCCGCTCTTCTCTCTGCTACAACCGTATCAGCCGCTCTTCTCTCTGCTACAACTGTATCAGCCGCTCTTCTGTCTACGGCAACTAACTCTGCTGCAGCTAGTTCGGGTGCAGCTACTTGAGGTGCAGCTACTTCGGGTACAGCTAAGTCGGGTGCAGCTGAGTCGGGTGGAGCTAAGTCTGCTACTACGGTAGGAGCAGACGAAATTGGAGGAGCAACAGAAACTGCGGGAGAAGTTGAAACGGGAGGAGGAGATGAAACTGGAGGCGCAGATGAAACGGGAGGAGCAGATGAAACGGGAGGCACAGAGGTAACGAGAGGTGCAGATGAAGCGGGAGGCGCAGATGAAACGGGAGGAGCAGATGAAGCGGGAGGAGCAGATGAAACTGGAGGCGCAGATGAAACGGGAGGAACAGCTGATGCAGCAGCCTCGTTCGCCTCCTGACTCTCTTTCGCCGTCTGAGATCCATTCGCCTTTGAAGCCTCCTTTCTATTCTCCGTCTTTTGAAATCCATTCGTCCTTAACGCCTCCTCCGTACTCTCCGTCGTTTGAGCTCCATTCGGTTTCAACACCTCCGCTGCATTCCTCGCCCCCACTGCTTCTCCAACTTCTACCTTCCGCTCCTCCGTTCCTCCCCTCTCCTGCGTTCCCCTCTCCTGCGTTCCCCTCCCCTCCTCCTCCTTCTCTCCCTTGGCTCTCTCCTCCACGTCACCCCCTAGATCCTTCCTCATCTCCCCCGCTTCCTCCTCAGCCCTTCCCCTCGCCTTCACTTCCTTTCCCTCCCCTTCCTTTACTTCCGCTTCCATTCTCATCCAACTAAGATACAAGGACGAACACTTGGAATGGAGGCGTCGATCTCCGTTTCGGTTGCTCCGTACACGCCACACACTAGCGGTACCAACCACTGATAACAGCCTACCGGAAGTTGAAAGTTGAAACACCTTCGGGAACACTCGGGAAACGCTGAGGATCCTATTTACAAGCAAACCCGTTTTCCTGACAGCGAGGGAGCCGAGGGTGCTAGTAGCTTGCCTGCCAATTCGACTGCGGAACGCGGTAGAGACCAATGCCGTAAATCCGGCGTCCAAGCGTCATCAGGAACAGTTAGTAAGATGCATTCCGCCTCCCGATGCGCCATCATGAGACCCAGCTGAGCTTTATTCACAATAGCCGGAGGACCCGGACCTTACGAGCAGCAGCGACCTAATTTGACAACACCAGCGTGGGATCAGCCGCTGGTCGCTTCGGGAAACGCTTAGGAGAAATTGTAGGGATGAGACTTCGGAATAGATTCCGGTCAGAAAAGTGGGCTCCTAAAAGTATGACTCGTTTTCGTATTGTCATGCTTGTACAACAAGCCAGATATGATAAGTTGTGTTCAACATGATTGGGTAGTTTGGAGAATGTAAAACGCTTTTTTGCTCTCAGGTAAACCCACTGAGTCGGTGGTTGGCTGTTAGGGGCAAATCAGCTGAGTGAATGGAAAAAATCTCTGCTGCCAAAAATATTACTACCCGTCTAAGTAAAACGTGCATTGAGTGTGTGTCCTAAGCGTTCATACTCTTTAAAACCCCTATTAACTGCTTTGCATTAGAAAAAAAATCGTTTGAGAATGCCAAGTACCACACTAAACCGCACTAAAGTGAACGTCGCGAGCCACCATAACCCATGGAAGGAATCATGTCGATCAAATCATCACACGTATTCCATTTTGCCTTCATAACATTCAGATAAGTATGTACGCGTCGTTTACCAGTTACAACCCTTAGTATTTGGAAATAATGTATAGAATATACCAGGCTGTTGAATATACATGTAAGGAGGGCAACAGATCTTGCATGCCCATATGTAACTTCGAAGCAGAGCCTGAAAGGCCATGGCAAATTCCAAGCAAGAGATCAACCGACGGTGAAGATTGGATGGTGGTCAACTGCTGTTGTTGACCGACGAACCAGTGGCAAGAGATCAACCGCCGCGAATCTTACCGATGACTCAGCGTTTCACGTGGAAAAACAAACTTCGATTTCCGCCTCCGATCCAGCGCAGGTTTATCAACGCATGGATTGGCTTCCCCAAGCAGAGCTGTGCATGTTGGGCTTTTGCCAAGCTTGTCTAAGCAGTTACTTGGGGCACCCATAATATACTGAAATTTCGGGGTGCACAATACCCAGACGCCAAACATTATCCAGTGAATCACGTCTCCTCTCCAAAAAACATGTGTACACTTGTAACAATGCTCCACACTTTGCCTTTGAACCACCTGGGACTGCTAAAATATTCATTATATTCCATGGCTACATGTATTTCTTACGACGGGATGCCCGAAATTTGTTTTGAGAAGCACAAGACGGTGACGACGGCGAGGATGAGAGCGGAGCAGTGCAGCATGCTTTTGATGAGGGTTGCCTTGGTCTCGTAAAAGGACGCACGAGGAGTAATCATCAGGACAACGTGAAGCTGTTTTTTGCTAAGCTTGATTCTGTCGCGCTGGCAGTGCGAAACAGCATCATAATTGACTGATTCAAGTTTTCTGCCCAACAAAGACTGAAGTGTAGATGCTATGAGTGCAATCAAATACACGAAGGAAATAGACTTATGATACATTAGATGCGGTCTTTTCATTTCGGTACCTGCTTCTATATCTCTTCCGAATTAGAACCTTTTAACAGCTGTCTTCATGTGCGAGAAAGGTTTTCAGTTCCACCCATATTCAACAAGAAAAACAGCAGTTTCCAGCCCTCCCATTGGTGGTTGGCGAACAAAGCCCTTGGAAATTTGTCCACGTTTCGACCATCGATTCCATCCGATCAAGCATCACGATTCACATGCCATCGATAACATGTCGATTCACGTGACACGTCCAACCAAAAGCAGTGCCGCACGCGTCAAGCCAATGTTGCCGTCGCCAGTGCCGCTCCAAGCCAACACCCCGCTCCGACCACTGGGTAAGAGCAAAGGGCAAGGCGTGGGAGAATGCTGCTCCTGTCCAGGTTGTTCAGTCTGTTTGATACAGTACGCTGGCGCGCACATGCAACGCAGCTGCTTTTAATTTCGAGGTGGGGCAGAGAGGGGACTCAGCGCAGCTTTGCCAGCCACCGTTTCTAGAATGGTCCAGTAGGCAAGCGGCAGCAGGCATGCTGCTTGGCAACATGCTCGCCGCGCAACACCAACCCACGCCTCAACAATGAAGGGGCCCCACGTGAAGCTGCGGTGGGCAGCACAAGGATCCCGGGCAGCGTGCGCCAGATCGACGGGTGGGATGGGGACGACGGGACGGAAGCACTGTACAGCCAGTGCCGTGGACGTGTCGGGGAGCATAAAGCAGGTGAGTAGAATAACAGATAACAAACGCCAACACGAATTGTAGCTCAACTTGTTACTCTTCTCCTAACCAAATCCTTCCTCCTGCCTTCCCCCTAGCCAAGGTGCTTGCTTGATTGCTAGTTGCTGTTCGTCCATTTGAACAGATTTACTTCTCAGCTGTTCATAGACACATCCAGGTCCTTCGTTACCTCATTATTAGAGACTCTATAGCTTCAAAACCTCTAGTCGTTCCTCACCAGCTGGAAAATTTCTTTCACCATGTCAGCGTCGCAGCATCAGGAGCTCTTACTAATGATGCAGCACCGCCAGCGGGCTCTGGCGTCTCTCCTCTCCTCCAGCCTTCCCGGCTCCACAACCAGTAACAACGGCTTCTTAGCCGCCGGCTGGCCCGCCGCCACGAGCCAACTCCCTTTCGGTGCCGCCGCAAACGCCGGCATGATGAACCTCGCTGGCGCTGGCGCTATTCCGGCAGCAGCAGGTTTCGCGGCGGGGGTGGAGCCGACGTCTCTCCCGCAGCTGCAGCTCCTCCGCGCGCTCGCTGCGTCGCAGATCGCCAACGCCGCCGCCGCCGCTCCGCAAACTTCTCTTTCGAGCCGCGGGTCCAAGCGCAGCGCCGCCAAGGACGACAGCAAGCCGCTGCGGCCGCGCAAACGCGGCCGGCCGTCGTACAAGGACCGCGCCGCAGCGGCTCTGGCGGCAGAGGAAGCGGCGAAGGCGGCGAAGGCTGCGGCGCTGGCGGAGCGCGAGATTCTTCTCCGCCAGATCGCCGCGCAAATGACGCCGCAACTGTCGCCGCAAGGCGCGATGATGCTTCTGCAGCAGCAGCTGGCGATGCAACAGTTGGGGATGTTCGGAGCCAACCAGATCGGCGGATTTCCCGGCGCAATGTGCGCTGCACCCCCTGCGCTTGCACATATGCGTGCCGCGTGCATGGATGCGGGTCGACAGGGTATGCCGGCGGCAGGTGCCGGTCTAGCGGTCGGTGCCGGCAAGATCGCGGATCGTGCGGCTTCTGGAGCGGCTAGCCGTCAATTCTTCAGCTCTGACGTGGATTTTGCCAGGCTGGACAGCTCCGCATTGGACCAATCACGGCTGTTCGCAGTGACGGCAGACGAAACCCTGAGGCAGCGCACGGAGGATGTAGATACGCATCGGAACACCGACGGCCATTCAGGTGACGAAAACGAGAGCGACTATAACGGAGATGCTTCAAGCTGGCCCCGGCGCGGTAAGAAGCAGGCGAAACGCGCTGCGAGTCCGACGCACGAAGCTTCGCCGAAGCCTCTCGCCCGCGCGGGGGGTTCATCAGTCACGGAAGACGGTACCCAAGCAGCCGTCGCTGCTGCTTGCGCAGCAACCAATCAGGCTGCGCCAGGTGGTATCTTCATGGCGCCGCCGCCGTCCAAGAGCTCCCCTGGCCACGGAGGCATGCCGGCCCTGGACTGGATGTTCTCTAAAGACACGCGGTTCGTGCAGCCCACGCCTAAGAACGATATGGAGGAGCATGCAGACGAGCACGTGCCTGCCACCCCTGCCGTATCTGCAGGTGTGCAGCAGCAGCAGCAACAGCAGCAGCAGCAGCAGCCCCCTGCTGTTGTGGTGGCAGCTGCAATGGAGTTTCTAGCCCAGGCCATGCCAAGGGTGGGGTCCAGGCAGGTGCTGCCTGGTGCAGGTGCTGACGGGGGTGCGCAGGGCATGGGCCCGGTTGCTGGTCTGATGGGTCTGACAAGGTCCAGGAGCAACATTGAAGCCGTCTTGGCGTTTGTGGATGCTGAGATTCAGGCGCGTAAGGGTAGGATGGGTGAGGCGAAGGAGGAGGCGGGCTTGCCTGCTCATTTGGTTCCCTCGCCTGTTGTAGATGTTAGGAAGGAGCGCAAAGCGCAAGATGCGTTAGACTTGTCACTTCACCTGTAAACAAGTTACAATGTTTTGGCTGATAAAACCCCCTAGAAACAACTAAAGGAAAATACATTCCATAAGGCTGTTTGTGGTGGTTGAGTGATTCGCCTTTCTGATTCCGCGTTAGTACACAATCTTGCCAGATTTTCAGTTGCAAGCAGTAACTTTCCCCCACATTGATTCTCTTGCACCTCATTCCTCATTCTTCATCCATACTTGGTAGTGACTGCTACCATCAAGCTACTACACTTGAAAACAATTTAGCTTTGATTCTAGGTGGTTCACCACTAGTACTGTCCATGGTTTTTTACTATCACATCTCTAACAGCTGCTCGCTTCACCTTGCGTAGAGCTGTCACTGGCAGTGACTGCTCTTGTGGGCGTGATCAGGGTCTGGCTTGTGCTCTCTCTCTCTGCCCCCTGCACAGCGTGGCGCCTCTGACGGGTACTCGCTTCACCACACCTAGAGCTGACTGGGATCATTCATTGCCCTTGTGGCCAAGCTAATACGTTGTGCACAATGATCATCAGTGATCACAGCCTGGCTCGTGCTCTCTGCCCGCCGCACTGCATGGCTGTAACAGTGGCGTCTCTAACCGCTGCTCACTTCACCTTGCCAAGAGCTGTGACCGGCAATGATTGCCCTTGTCGCCAAGTTACTCAACCATGCACGTGATCACAGCCTGGCTCTTGCACTCTGCCCGCCGCACTGCATGGCTGTGACAATGGCGTCTCTAACAGCTGCCCGCTTCACCTTGCCTAGAGCTGTCACTGGTAATGATTGCCCTTGAGGCAGGGCCACTGCCACTCTAGGCAGCTTGTACCTGCCAAGCGGAGGGGAGGCATGAGACAGCGCGATGAAAGGGGAGTTGAAGTCCTCATGAGTGCTCGCTTAGTATTCACATGCACGAGGCTAATGATTCAAAACGGTGATCACCATCTTACCTGGACAGGCCGCGCTTCTGGCAGGTAGCATGCAAGTCAGTCAGTACCACGGTTTTAGCCACAATCGCCACCGTCACATTGCCACGAGCAGCATCACTGCTACATCTGTCTCCCGCCCACTCCCATCCCAGTTTCAGCACCAGCAGCACAGCAACAGCCTCCCCAATTTTTCATCAGGCACCCTCACCGTTGCTGGCCCTATCTTACCTGGAAAGACCATGCTGCTGGCAGGCAGCATGCAAGTCAGTCAACGACACGCGCTTAGCCCTTGTCGCACTGCCATCGTTACCATCACCGCCATCACAGCTAGCCCCATCTCCCGCCCACTCCCATCCCGGTTTCAGCACCAGCAGCACGGAAACAGCCTCGCCCATTCTTTCATCCGGCACCCCCGCCGCTGCTGCTGCCGCCACTGCAGGGTGTGCCCTCACTGCCTCTTCCACCTCAGCGCAAAAAACATTCTCCCCCCCCGACTTTATCATTTCCTTCCGCCTGCCCAGCAGCCAAAGCTGCCCAGAAAAATCGATCCAGCCCATGTCTCCTGTATGCAGCCAGCCGTCTGGGGAGAGGGCAGCGGAGGTTTCTTCTGGCCTGCCCCAGTACCCACCCATCACATGCGGGCCGCGGGTTAGCACCTCCCCCACTACAGGACAAGGCATGTGAGCTGAAGGGTTCCTGTGATCAGGTGATGATTGGTCGGTGGGAGGAAGGGAGGAGTGCAAGTCTGGATGGGGGAGGGGAGAGTGAGGGTTGTCATGAGAGCGGGGAGGGTGAGGGTCCTCCGGAGGAAGGGGGGCAATGCGGACTTGAACGTGAGGAGCGGGGAAGCCAACAAAGCAAGGAGATGATGATGATGATGATGCCGCTGGTGGTGGTGGTGGTGGTGGCGGTGGTGGTGGTGGTGGTGGTGGTGGTGGCGATGATGCTGGTGATGCTGTTGACGTTGGTGTGGGTGATGACCCACAAGTCGCTGCAGCTGCTGGGTCTCTCAGTGTGGCAAAGGTGATGGAGGAGGCTGCTTCTGTCATGCCTGGTGGGGGAAGAGAGAGAGCGGGGGGGAAGAAAGGGGGGTGGGGTATGGGGAGTTGGAACTGTGGGGTAATCGGGCGGGGGTGTGGAATGCATGGGTCTCTCGGTGTGGCAAAGGTGATGGAGGAGGCTGCCTCTGTCATGCCTGGTGGGGGAAGAGAGAGAGAGAGGGAGAAGAGAGAGAGAGGGGGAAGACTGTTTTGCAGTGATCGAGCACCAGGGCGAACGAGAGTAGAAGGGGTCCCGATAGGAGACTCACCTGAGCCGAGACACCAGTTTGTACCAATCCGGCATGCCTAGTTTGTACCCAGGATTGCCCATCAACGACGGACCGTTCGAGAGGGGGAAGAGAGAGAGAGAGGGGGGAGAGAGAGGGGGGGAAGAGAGAGAGGGGGGAAGAGAGGGAGAGGGGGAAGAGAGAGAGGGGGAAGAGAGAGAGAGGGGGAACAGAGAGAGGGGGAAGAGAGTGGGGGAAGAGCAAACGGGAGAGGCAAGGCTCGGGCATGGAGGGGGTGAGAGACAAAGAAAAGGGCGTTCCCAGGACAGGCTTGCACGTGCCTTTTGAGTTCCCAGGACGGGCTTGCACGTGCCTTTTGAGTTCCCAGGACAGGCTTGCACGTGCCTTTTGAGTTCCCAGGACGGGCTTGCACGTGCCTTTTGAGTTCCCAGGACGGGCTTGCACGTGCCTTTTGAGTTCCCAGGACGGGCTTGCACGTGCCTTTTGAGTTCCCAGGACGGGCTTGCACGTGCCTTTTGAGTTCCCAGGACGGGCTTGCACGTGCCTTTTGAGTTCCCAGGACGGGCTTGCACGTGCCTTTTGAGTTCCCAGGACGGGCTTGCACGTGCCTTTTGAGTTCCCAGGACGGGCTTGCACGTGCCTTTTGAGTTCCCAGGACGGGCTTGCACGTGCCTTTTGAGTTCCCAGGACGGGCTTGCACGTGCCTTTTGAGTTCCCAGGACGGGCTTGCACGTGCCTTTTGAGTTCCCAGGACGGGCTTGCACGTGCCTTTTGAGTTCCCAGGACGGGCTTGCACGTGCCTTTTGAGTTCCCAGGACGGGCTTGCACGTGCCTTTTGAGTTCCCAGGACGGGCTTGCACGTGCCTTTTGAGTTCCCAGGACGGGCTTGCACGTGCCTTTTGAGTTCCCAGGACGGGCTTGCACGTGCCTTTTGAGTTCCCAGGACGGGCTTGCACGTGCCTTTTGAGTTCCCAGGACGGGCTTGCACGTGCCTTTTGAGTTCCCAGGACGGGCTTGCACGTGCCTTTTGAGTTCCCAGGACGGGCTTGCACGTGCCTTTTGAGTTCCCAGGACGGGCTTGCACGTGCCTTTTGAGTTCCCAGGACGGGCTTGCACGTGCCTTTTGAGTTCCCAGGACGGGCTTGCACGTGCCTTTTGAGTTCCCAGGACGGGCTTGCACGTGCCTTTTGAGTTCCCAGGACGGGCTTGCACGTGCCTTTTGAGTTCCCAGGACGGGCTTGCACGTGCCTTTTGAGTTCCCAGGACGGGCTTGCACGTGCCTTTTGAGTTCCCAGGACGGGCTTGCACGTGCCTTTTGAGTTCCCAGGACGGGCTTGCACGTGCCTTTTGAGTTCCCAGGACGGGCTTGCACGTGCCTTTTGAGTTCCCAGGACGGGCTTGCACGTGCATTTTGAGTTCCCAGGACGGGCTTGCACGTGCATTTTGAGTTCCCAGGACGGGCTTGCACGTGCCTTTTGAGTTCCCAGGACGGGCTTGCACGTGCCTTTTGAGTTCCCAGGACGGGCTTGCACGTGCCTTTTGAGTTCCTAGGACGGGCTTGCACGTGCCTTTTGAGTTCCCAGGACGGGCTTGCACGTGCCTTTTGAGTTCCCAGGACGGGCTTGCACGTGCCTTTTGAGTTCCCAGGACGGGCTTGCACGTGCCTTTGAGTTCCCAGGACGGGCTTGCACGTGCTTTTGAGTTCCCAGGACAGCCTTGCACGTGCCTTTTGAGTTCCCAGGACAGCCTTGCACGTGCCTTTTGAGTTCCCAGGACAGCCTTGCACGTGCCTTTTGAGTCGACTCAAAGGCGTTCCCAGGACAGGCTTGCACGTGCCTGATATTGACAAGGGGTGAGAGGAACCTGTGCCAGGACGATCACAAGGCCTTGTCGATGTGATCAAGGGGGAAGAAACAGCAGGCAGACGTGAGTAAAGGACGCGAGGAAATTGCTGCACCATAGGCGGACAAGGAACCGCGGGCAACGGAGTTACCGCTACCGCTAGCGCCACCGCTACCGGCAGCGTCAGCGCCAGCGCCACCGCTACCCGCTACCCGCTCCCCGCTACTCGCTACCCGCTACCGCTACCGCTACCGCGGTAGCGGTTCACCAAGTCTCACGGACGCCGTGATCGCTACCGTCTCTTCCGTGCTATGGGTCTTGGCGTCTCTGTGACTTACGACGTTGCGGCCTAGGGGGTGTGTTGGAGTTAGGACGCAACTTGGTTGACACCAAATTTGTGTACTAGTTCATTTGTTTGTTTAGGGTTATGAAACCTTGTAAGGTTGGGTGTAGCTTTTCCATTAACAACCTATCCCAACCCAATCCATCCGAAATCCCCACGATTTGGGAGGATTCCCTTGGGATTCCCTCCGATTCCCCCTTATTCCCTCCAATCCTCTTCGATGCTTGGTACTTAAGCATGTATGCCCTCTCTCATTCTTTAATCAAATTCCCGTTTTCTAACAAATAGGATGGCCAATAGGATGTTGTTGAGTTGGATCGTGGTTAGGATGGTGAATAGGATGGTGAGTAGGACGAGTTGAAAAGGGAGAGAGGGGAGGCGCTAACGGCGAGAGCATAGGAGAAGGAGTTACCGTATGCGATCATGAGTTGGGCGCAGGGGAAGAGAGCCTCCACCTGGCGCTGCAATGACTGGCTCATGGCTCCTCCCCCCACCAGTAGCGTGCGCACGAGAGGGAAGGTCGGGGCTGGATTTGGGGAGAAGGAGAGGGAAGCAGGAGAGCAAATGGAAAAGCAGGAGAGCAAATGGAAAAGCAGGAGAGCAAATGGAAAAGCAGGAGAGCAAATGGAAATGCAGGAGAGCAAATGGAAAAGCAGGAGAGCAAATGGAAATGCAGGAGAGCAAATGGAAAAGCAGGAGAGCAAATGGAACGGGATGAGGGAAAGGAGGAGGTATGACGACTTCAACTTTTGAGTCGACTCAA